GTTACGTCGTTGATTCAGATGGTTAGGTTAATAGCTTGTTTAGAGAAACTTTTCATGATATGCTAATTTTTTGGGACAGGCATTTTGGGTTTTCATGAGCTGTATGCCATAATCATCAGTATTAAAACAATTAAAGACCTGAGGTATTTCAGTTGGTGTGCAATGAATCTGAAATATATGAAAGTTTCATTTTTATCATTACATTATGGGAAATAATGACCTTCATCACAATATGCTAATTTTTTTAGACGGACCTGTGTATATATATATATATATATATATATATATATATATATTTTTTTTTTTTTTTTTTTTTTTTTTTTTTTTTTTAAATACTGTATAATTTTGATTCTGATAATTTTTATTCAACAATATGTTTGAAGTGATAAATTTTCTATTGTTTTTATCCCTACATAGGAACTGCAATATAAAAGGTTTGAAATATAAATGCAAACATTATGAGCAAATGCTAGTGTAATAGTTTTAGTAGTTATCCTGATGGTCACACAAGTCATACTCACTTAAATGGAGGAGTTGTTATTGTTTTTTATTATTATTATTATTATTATTATTATTAATAAAGTGTCCAAGAAAGAAAAATAATAAGTACCAACTCTGCTAAAAAAACAAACATTTCCACTAACATGTCTGGAAAAATATGCGTGTTGAATTAAAATGTGGTCCAATTAAGTTCAGCTGCTGCTATGGTAGCCACTGGCTCTGTTTGAGACTTTACAATCAGCCAGCAGAGTCCTGCCAACATGTTCAGAAACAAATTAATCACAACCAGATGAAACACTGGGTGTACAGCTGGCACACTTTTGTTGAAAATGTTTTTCTAAATTAAATTTCTAGCGAACACACTAAAGACCACAAGACCAACACAATCATGACTACACAGTGAAATATTGATGAGCCAAATCTGTGCTAAAACACTAACCCAAGCAAAGTTCCACACTTGTTATTAAGAGATCATGAGTGACAAACAGATGCCAACCAGGATAATCTTTTAACAGAACATTTCTCAGAAAAAACATCTGAAGCAGTGTAACGACTAGAAGCACTCAGAAAGAAACCACCGGACATCACGGTCATTACAAATCTGCTTTTCAAGGCAACAGGAACTCTCTGCTAATACAAATGCTCTTTTAGGAGCTAAAATGTTTCTCAGGAAAAATTGAAATAAAAAGTTAAGAAAAGCAACATCCCTGCCACGGAGCATTATTTGACAAAGACTTTTAGAATTAAAAGGTGAAAAAATGTACAATTTATTTCTGCTAAATTAAATATTCATGACGGTAAGTTCATCAGAATCAGAATGAGCTTTATTATCATTGCACCAAAGCGCAATGAAATTACATTTCAGTACAGCCAATTCAAGAGAAACATAACAAACAAAGACGGGGGGACGGAGGTGACTGAGGTTGCCGGCCTCGAGAGGCACAGCCTTTTTTTTTCAGATAAGGAAAAAGAAACACGGGGGGAGTGTAGGTGTAAAAAAAATGGACACAGTGTGAAAAATGCAAAAAAAAAAAAGACTTCAGCCCATGAAACGGCAACATACTGATGACATCATCATACATTTATGCATGAGGAGGCCAACGAGGGCAGTGAGTTGTCTGTGGATTGCCAGAAAGTTCCATAGTCCTGATAAAGATGGCACAGTGTCTATCAGTCGACTCAACTCTGACACAGATCCACAGATGTCCCCGGGAGGGGAGTGATGGCGGGGGGGGGCTTCTCGTTCACATAAACAACCAGGAGAAGTTGAGATAGCTGGCCAAATCAAGGCCGAGTGGGGAAGCCAAATTTGGATAATTATTTTGGGTCAGGCAGCCTCTGCTTGAATTTCCATGTCTGCCTTCAAAGTTCTGCTGGTACTTCTCACAGGCGATTCCAAACAGCCAAATTGTGTGGTCAGTTCAATTTCAATTCAGTTTATTTATATAGCGCCAATCACTACAAAGCAGTCTCAGGGCACTTTACAGGAACATTCACATACATAAAAGCCAATTAGTAACGTTCTCTATCTAAGGAGGCCAGCAGACGAGTTGATTCTTGGTCACACTGCCAGACTGAGCTTGTAGCCTTCTCCAAGGTCGATTCCTTCCCGTCA